TCTAATGGGAATAAAACGAGGGAATGGTATGAAGCAATCCTTTTGGAAACAGGCTCTATTACCTTAGTACATTTCTACCAAAGGAATACTAATATAATAGCCTATTCAAAGTTCCAGATTGGAAAGATAATATCTTATAAAGAGTGGGGCTTAGATCCCATGAGAAGCAGAAAACTGCAAGCACCGGAGTTCAACAATAAATATTACAAACACTCCGAATATATTGATGCATGGCACAAAGTCTTCTCCCTTCAGAATAATAATAATTCCCATTCCTGGTTTATACAAATAAAGGCACCAATTACTGAAAAACTTTCAAATTGGTTTAGGTATTGGTTTCAGATCTGGGGGTTTGGAACGGAAATCCTTCCTCCCAAAATACAAGCCTCCCAAACCAAATTTGCATAATATAATGATAATGATCCCCAAATAGACCATCATGGCAATATACCAGATTTCTGGGATCCTGAAGTGGAGTTATGCAGTCTCAAAAAACCTTACCAATGATTGGGAGTAGATCCCAAAATTGGGAAAAAGGATATATATTAAATGGTGGGACGTCTATGAAAATAAACTTATTGATCCGGAAAATATCAAGCTTAGAAAAGTCCCAATTGATGTACCAGAGGAAGTCCCAAATAGTTTCACAGAATATATCAATAAAATGGAAAAACAAAATCCAAAGGCAACAAAAGAAGAACTAAAAAAGCAGCTACTTCAAATATTTGAAGAAGAAGGAGAATTAATGTCAACTTCATCTCAGAATGACGAAGACTTTACCACTGAGAATAAAGACTGCGAGTTAGTTCAACCAATAATAGACTTCTCCCAATAGGATACTAAAGGAAGACCCGACGATACTACAATAAAAGGCCCAGTCCATCAATAAAAATATCCTCAAGAAATACTGCTTGCCACCCGAGAGATACTGTCTGCCACCTGCAAGATGTCTGCCACCAGTTCTACTTATGGTCGGCCACCGACAAAAGCTGGCGCCATCTGTTCATATCTGCCAAAAGAAATACTGTAGAAGATGCCCTTGCCGACATATCCGCCAAAAGAAATACTGCAGAAGATGCCCTCACCGACAACTTTATGTCACTGTTCCTCAACTTTATGTCACTGTTCCTCGGTTTTGTCACTATTCCTCAACTTTAGGTCACTTTTCCTCGACTTTATGTCACTATTCCCTAGCTTTAAGTCACACCTGTCACATTTATGCAGCTGACATTCAAATCGAATTAAGAAGGTTTGACGTCCGAAGGTTATAAAAGGAGGAGCCCTCCTCATTTGAAGGGCATCGAGAAAACCTGGAGAGACGTTCCCCTCCAAGGCTCTGCAACTCTCTGAGTCTTCTCTCTCTCTCTCTCTTTGGAACTCTCTGAGTCTTCTCTCTCTCTGCAACTCTCTGAGTCTTCTCTCTCTGTGCAACTCTTTGAGTCTTCTCTCTCTCTCTTCAACACTCCGAGTCTTCTCTCTCTCTCAACAACTCTCTTAATCTTTTCATGACTTTTTGTTAGTCATCAGTCCTTCCATGTTTTTTAATTTGCCTGAACTGTATATCGAGTGGTGTACCTATCCACACCGAATCCCTTTGAGTAAATACTGTATGTGTGATTGTAATTTTCCAACCTTACCGAGCAACTGTCCAGAAGAGTGAAAACTTTTCTCAAGCTACTGCAAGTGTGTAATGTGAGTACTTTTAGATTTGATATGATCTTTTTATCATACATGTACTTCTAATATGCAAATAAAGTTTGTTCCAAGTATTAAAGTCAGAGATATTACTTATACTAATTGGATTGTTTTAGATATTTCTCCTTTCTCTATATTTATCCTGATATCTGTACTGATATATACAGGTCTTGTTAGACTGTTTATATGAATGTTTCTTTAGTCTTTCTTTAAGGTTTGCAATACACTCTAAATTTTAGATCTCTGGGTTACGTTGGTATATATATATATGGAAAACGTTGGGATTAGCCCACTAGCTCATATGAACATATGAGCCCAATGGCCCAGATTGAATCTTGGCCGATCACGGATGTCCGGTAGTGTTTGAATTTTATTTTTATTTTTTTTCTACAAATCTAAATAACTTGAAATTTTAGGTGTATGTTTATCAAAAATAGGTGAATCGTCAAAAACTATCAAAAAAATATTTTACATGAAATATATCGATCAAAATACCCCTGAAAAGTTTCAGGGGTATTTTGGTCATTTTACTTTTTACTAATAATTGTTTAATATTTTATTAGGTACGCCTTGATGAGAAGAGTACACACCTAAAATTTCAAGTGATTTGGATTTGTAAAAAAATAAATTAAATTCAAACACTACCGGACATCCGTAATCATTAGATCGGCCTAGATTCAATCTGGGTCATTAGGCTCGTATGTTCATATATGCTAGTGGGCTAATCCCAGCTTTTTCCTATATATATATATATATATATATATATATATATATATATA